GAAAAAAAAAAAAAAAAAAAAAAAAAAAAAGCAAAGGATGCTCATTAGCATCAGATTATGAATATCTTTCCTTAGGTGCCTATGAGCACGAATATTAAATTACTTAAAAATTTGTGATATTACTATTCTAGTTCTGCTAGAGGATTGCATTTCAAGACTAAAAGTTAAATTCGACGCGTAGTTTATAGGATTTCATACATAAATTCATACTAAATTATTTCAGCTTGGTCGTTTAAAGTTTTCATTTTTTAGTTTTTGTGTATTCACATTACGGTCTTAAAAGATACTTTGTTTCGTTGTTAACGTTGTTAGAAAAGCAAAATTTATATCGAGCTGAACATCGTTTTTCTATTTTTTTTCTCTTTTGTTCTGTTTGCCATAAAATCAAAACAATGGCTGTGTTCAGCAGAGAAAGCAGCTTTGCAACTGTTGTAAAATTTTTGAATAGGATCGGTTTATACATTTAGATCCATTGAGAAACTAAAAAAAGCAAGACCAATCATATTAAAGAATCTCTGCTGAAAGCAGCCATTGGTGTCGATAAATTGTATAATTTGTACATATAAGAAGCAGCATTAGGAACATATTTATGTATTACGAAATTTACCTTTGACGTTAAATAGCCGTTGCCGAGCTTCGAGATTGGGCTGCACCACAGCGATTAGAATCTGGAGCATGAACAGACACCGCATGATTGGCACTGAATCGAACATGTTTCTTGCTAACGAAATGCGATCTCCTTGATGTCTGCCGATGTTCCCCTTTATTCTGGAACACACACGTCGTGTAACCGCAACATGAGTTTCTCGTTAAATCCTCTCATCACACAGCAATTGGGTCATTTCCGCGATTTAAGATTACGAATTAAAGCTTTGTGTTGAGCTCGAAGAATGCTCCGTCAACGGCGCAAAGCATAGAAAGATAATTTATGAAAAGTACTTGATTAAACTCCCTTTGACCGTGACATGGGGAAAAAAATTCTAAAGGTTGAAATGAGAATTCACTCTCTCTCTCTCTCTCTCTCCACGAGAATGAAAAAGGGAAAATATTTTCATCTCCGTCCTTTCTTCTGGATAAAAAGTCCTTTCCTCCAATGAGAGAATGGAACAGAAAATCAGTTTCGTCCTATATTTTCTACGTGCCAAACTCATGCTCGGATATAACGTACCTCATACGATTTTCTCGTGCGCGCCGAGCTGTCTCAGGATCGTTCATGGCGACGCTGCCTAGTTTCGATAATTGGAATTCGTTCAACCATACCGTGCCGATGATCGAGCTCGACAAGCTACTGGATTCTTCCATCCGAGCTAAAGGTAGAACTCATCTCGGAATATGACTCTTACGTGTTTCGCTGACAATAGAATCATAGCTCGCGGCGTCTCTCGGTAAGGCAAGTTGAACGATAATGCTGTCGATGGGATTTTTTTCAGAAATTTAGAGTTACGTTAAATCGTGATCGTAATCTCGAACGTAATGCGAAGAATGTCATTTACATTGTGCATTGCAGATTTATCCCTGAATGATCTATCAAATGTAATAATTAACACTCCTGTTCTCTCACTCGCTACTATCTGATATTGTGACGTTAGAAGCGAGAAAACACAACAAAAATTCTTACAAATTAAATTTGAATAAAAATATTTTCCATTTGAAACATACAACATTTGTATAGTCGATAGAACAGACCCATAGAATGTATCGGAAACTATCTTGTTGTTTCGGGAAGAACTTAAATCATATTTATTTCTTCGTATTATAATTATATTTATTTATTTCTTAATTTATATTATTAATTCGACAATTTGCCGTAGCTGTGAATATTGTTCATTTCGTCCTTGATTATTCATAATTTATTTCAAACTATACGATTATTTATGAATTAACGAAATAAAAGAAGAATTTCCGATATAGGTATTTTACAAGTCAGTTCTATCGATTGCAAGTGTTGTTTTATTAAAACACATTTCCGCATTAATATTTTTGCAAGAATTCTTATCATGTATTTTCTCGCTTCTGACGTCATAATATGAGATAGTAGCGATGAATGAATGGAAGTTTTGACGTCAGTGTATTTTAATTTTTAATCGATATTGTTCGTACGAATAGGTATGACGTGTCGAGGGAGATTTCGTGACAAGAATAGTTTATACGTATATAATAGTTTTTTGATAACTAGATAATTAATATCAACTAGAGGCCTCGTAATATATTCTCGGCAAAGTACACGAATATCGCATAAGCTGCACGTCGGCTTAATCATCACGAGTAGCTCGTGTTCTTCTCAAATACTTCCACACAGAAACCAGATCCGATGCTTTATGAAAGCGCAGGAGAGTTTCGTAGCCGGAATGATGAGTTGGGTGGGAGAAAGTCAAAACGGGTTCATTAATACGACGCGGAATTGGTAATTAGTCTCGCATGTATCTATCAACCAGAACGCAAATAAGTTTTGCATGTACGAGCGAGGAAATTGACGGGATTGTCGATGAATATTAATCCATATCGAATGGAATGAGAATATCAAAGTATATTTTAATAATTGAGCCATTGAAAGAACTAACGATAAAAGTTATATCCATTTTGAGAAACGAGAGAATATTCATGAATGTGTACTTAACTTAAGTTCCAACTTTTTCTACTATAATACTTTTTCTACTCTGCGGTGCTATACATAGAAAGTAAAAAAAGAATGTTAAGTTTTATATTACTTTAAAATTAATACGGGGGTAACGAATTAATTGTACCACCGTCGTCGGCTGTAGAAACGCAAGTTGCAGCATTATGATAATGAATCGATACGACGCTTTCTAGATAGTATTACAATTTACGTTTCGGAATTTCGGGCGCGTGGCGTTTAAAGTATTAATTTACGCTGCCCCGCTGTATTCGCTGTATTCCCTATTTTCGATATAAGCGCGAACGTTTGCGACTACGCGAATATTGCAAGCATTCGCGTAGTCGTATACTCGACTCGATTGTATGCCGTGTCAGTAACAGACGTAACCACTTACGGTACAACCGCGGAATATTAATAAGCGGGGCGTAGGTTTTAAAGCGTCTCGCGTCACCTCGATTGAGTTATCGCACCTGTAATACGCATGGGATGAGAACACCGGTGTAGATTAATGGCACGAGTGTCATTAGAGGACGGTGCGTGAATCTACGATGAATAAACACGCATTCCGTGCGCGGTCCTTACACATGTCTTTAATCGATGTTCAGCCGGAAGTGGGCGGCATCGCTGTACCTTGAATAAATATTTATTTCCTCGTAGGAAAGAGGAAAATTCAACTAAGAAAATAGACGAAGGTATCTCGTGAGAGGTATATCGTTTCAGTGGCCGTGTTGAAACACGTATAGGTAATCGCACTCGTGAAGATGCCGAGGCTCGGGAAAAGGTGAGAGAGAGAGAGAGAGAGAGAGAGAGAGAGAGAGAGAGAGAGAGCGAATAAATAAATTCTGAAGTTGCTCGAGTGAGATTAATTCCTACAGGCGTATCGACGTTAGCCAGGCGTCAAAATTTAAAACGTTGGCATAATTAATATGGCAACTCACCCAGTGAGCGACTTTGAATTATACGAAGCCGAATGATTTCACGATTATAACATGAGTTCATGTAAATGGTCTTCTTTTTTTAACATGAACCGTTTTCCACCGTGCTGCGAAAAATGCCGCCGACTACGAGATCCATTAATCTTACGCTTTTCAAGTGCTTTACGCTTGTCGGTTCTCGAATTACATGCGTTTGCATTAATCGCGCTCTCATCTATAATAATAAGGAAAGCTTAATTAATATCGACGAGCTGGAAATTCTGTTAAACAAAATTGTCGCTACTGTGAACAATATTGAAATTGTCATAATGCTATCACAATTCATCGTCATAATCTGTTTGATCATTCGAGAAAAATCTTTCTTGCTTTCAGATACTATCATATTGAATAATTACGCCTATGTAATTCCGAGTTATCAAGTTATTAAATCCATAATACATTTTTGTAAACCTCAAGCGTACAACTCGGACAATAAATTAAGCGGCCACATAATAAATTTCTATCCCTGCGACAGCTATCGCGTACGCTTCGCGTTGCGATATTTTACTCATATTTTACAGCATAAGAATGCACGGAGATATTTACGTGCGTGTAACACTGCAAATCCAGCAGTTTCGCGCGAATGCGCGATTTATGCCATTAAAATTTTCTAACGGTATCTATCAACATAAACGGATTACCAATGAATGTTTCGTCGGTATGTAAAATATTTAAATATGACTTACTCGGCTTGCTCGGACATGAAAATGAAGCTGCGCTGGTAAAAGGATACATATGTATCCTTTTACCAGCGGAATATTCTTTTGTTCGTCGAGTAATGGATCGAAAATAGTAGAAAAAAAAGATATTTCTTTCAAATTAATTACGTACATTCATTTGATTTTACGGACATTACATGAGCTTTCATGACAGCGTACGTTTCATATAGAAAAAGAAGATTATATCTTGAAAATTGCAAAAATATTAATGGGTTATTGGAGTATTAGAGACGCGCTTTTTAATATGCGAGGTAACAGCTATTCATTGTATTCTTTACAATAATGGAATAATCTGAGAGCATAACATTGTATACACATATTAATTTTCAAAATATAGCGATTTAAAAAAGAAAAATTTTTATTATGTTAAATAATGAAAATTCATTTTGAAATTTTTTACTGAATGTAATCTCGTATTCTCTACAATGTGAAATTATGAAAATATTTCCATGTTAGTCTATTTATAAAATAGAATTGTTCTATATAAACTGCAAATATGCTCGAATAATACACGGTATAATTGTTAGCGTGAAAGTGCGCGCGTGACTCTTAATTAAGAGCACGACAATCGAGATAAAAATGTAGGAAAAGTTCATGGTACTGTAACTTCACATTAGCTTATTTAAACGAGATGCTAGAAGTTTTTATATATAGTAATGTCTTTTGCGTAGGTAGAATAATTAAATAAAATGAAATAATTACTAGATTTATTCGTTGCATTTTTCAACGTTATGAGTTATTCTCTTTATTTATGCAAAGGATGCGATTTAACTTCTTTATTCATTATATTTTAATTCATATTTTTATTCATACACAACGATAAAAATATTTTCTAAATCATTGTTATCGTATTTTGAAACTCACACAGCAAAAGTATATGAAGTGAATTTTTTTGTTAAACGTTCACATAAAATTAACCGTTAATTAAGCGTATTTCGTAATTTTACTGAATAAATAACTTTCATATAATATTTATAGAAATTTTTTTAGTAGAAAACGCCACGAACAACTACTCGTAAAGGTAAAAATTATTAAATAAAATCATTAAATTTTCTGATAGGTCTTTTTATCCGCGAGTAATTTTCTAAATAATTTTTCACGATCGAAAACTATGAAGTTTAAAGAAAAATTGTGAAACGCGCTTGGTGCTAACGATAATTTAAGCATCAACGAGTCGTCCTCCGTGCTGATCGTGAGAAGCGATGGTACCTGTCCGTGTATAGCCCTCTCCTTAACGATTTAATAATTACGTGGCTCTCTTCGGAGAGTCGAAACAAGTCTCTCATTAACTGCAGCGTAATTTGTTGACTTTCGATTTGATATGCAACTCCTCGAACGCTCTGACGTACCGCGCCGCCATTGGGTTATCATTATCATGATACGTGTAACAACATAATGACGTAAGAGTGAGTCCATTTTTCTGCATCCGGCAGTTTGTGAGAAAGGTATACGACGCGCAAATAGCGGGTTTTCATTCGGCAAATATTGCTGACCCTGATTTCGATTAATTAATACGCGTTCTCTGTGTCGGTTGGAAGATTGAGAATTATGTACGCGCACGGTAAATTGGATCATATTGGGCGGTTACAAGGATTTAAAATCACAGGATCAGTTTATTTAAGAGCAATAGAGCAATTTTCAGAATGATTGTTACATGCTGAAAATATTTATTGATTTATGATAATCGCTGATTCATGACCGTTTCTTTACCAATGTGTGTAGTAATTTTATAACCTTTAAGAAGGTAGAGATGACAGCATCACCCCACGCAAAGTTTCTTCAAAATTTTATTCGGGAAAAGGAACATAAAAAGTATTGCCCAGAAGTAAAATTTATTTTTTATACCTTCCTCTCTCTCTCTCTCCCTCTCATAAGAATATAAATAATATATATTTAACTTTATGTATTATATACTATTAAAAAATATAACTATAAAGATAAAATTTGTTTAGAGTACTTAAACATTATTCTCGTCTATCTACTTAAAAGCTAATTTCGGTTCAACTTAATCTTTTGCTAGTTTTAAGAATTAGAAAAAGATGAAGAGTAAGTTGAATCGAGATCAAAGTTAATCTACATCGATAGAAACGGACATTATTCGAAAGTTATCCACTATTTATTCAAATCATTATTATCTAAATGACGGGTAAATGAGAGTACTAACACGCGTACTAATTCAGGCGTTATACAATATTTAGACGTATGTATTTCAAAATCCTCACATAAACTTTGAATAAAGACCGAATGGCTCCATTCGAGCCATCTTGATGAATATTTTATTTAGAACGTTGCTGAATGCTTTCCATTTAATGACACAAATCGACACAAGCATCGGTCTATCTTTCTTTGCATTTAGTAATAACTTGTGCCATCAAATGGAAAGCATCTGTTAGGTACGATTTGTAGCTACGATTGATTGAAAATCCGTATATC